CACTTGGTTTACAATGCACAAGCATACGGATATTTACAGAGACTGAAGACATCCTCCAAAACCCCCTTTAAAGTAACTTCTAAACTCTAGTTGTACATCTAGATCAGGAAGCTCTGTCTCCTGCTATCAGGATTTGGTTTTAATTCATTCAAATTACTTCTATAGATTCTCTACTGGCAGGACATCAGTCCCAACTTTGGAGTGAAGAAGAATCTAGTCCAAAGAAGCCCCTGGTAGATATGACTGGCAGTGAAGGTTACTACAGAAAGTGTGTCATCTGGAAATATGTATCAAGATGGACAGACTTCTAAAAATGGTCTTGGAAAAACATCTGTATGAAGGTGCAAAAGGAAGAATAAATTCCTACTAATCATTCTAGAACTTCAGAAAAAAGAAGTCCAAATACACTGACAACTTTAGTTATTATTCAAATATTGATAATCATCGGAAAAATACTCAAATTTACTTGCCTGCTACCATAACATGCAAAACTTTTTAAGTGTGCCCTGTACTGACTTAATATCAGTTTCTGGACTTTTCCCAATCTATTAGATTCTAGGAATCCAGAGAGCTTTTGACACAGAGGTGACATGTGGGCTGGGAGAAAAGGGTTTAACGCCTCATATCTGAACAGTTTAACATGAAATTCTCAGATTCCTACGATACAAACGTACCTGTTTTTCAAGTTTCTTGGGACTCTCCCTGCAGTTATATGTCCCTGAAAAAGGAATTTAAAAAGGGAAGAAATCTACTACTTGCCACTCTATTTCCAAGTATGTGTAAAGATTTTTCGAGCCAGCCTGATCTTGAAACATAGGGCAAGACTGGGGATAAGAGTTTGCCTTTAAGAAATAAGAGATGATCTAAATCAATTTTCTTGAAAGGTTTACCCATTGATGTCTTCGAAATAGGGAAGAAAAAAAAAAGACAAACTCCTTTTGCAATATGCTAGTGGACAATGAACTTGAATGGGTCTATTGCTTTCTCTTCAATACTCTGGGCCCACATTTCATCATACTAAAGGTATGATCAGCCCTCTCTTATCCATGTCAATGGATATTTTACATATAACATAGGGAAAATGAAATATGTTCCTAGATGCAAAATCCCACGTTAATCAAAAGTACAGTCATACTCTTTCATCAAATGTTAGAATCACCTATGGAAAAAAATAACATTTTTGCATCAAATAAAGCTCTGCCCTCTTGTTATTAGAAGTCCTATTGAGCAGTGACACTACCAATCTGGCATTTGCTATTGTTTTAACATGGTTTTACCTATCCCCACTGGAATGTCTAATTTGAGAGGCGTGAGTTAGATTTTCAAATGAAAAGTAAAAGATTGCAAATAAAGGTGATTACATTGATGGCATATTCTCTATTTCATTAGGAAATGTAAAACACATTCATAAAGGTCTTACTTAGATCAGGGGTACAGATATCAACTGGAAATTACTAGAGTAATAAGTCTTCACGATGCAGTAGTATTTTCCAAATTTAATTTTCATACTGACAATTGGACCACATTTACTGAAATAAGAGTCTGTTAAATTCATCAGTAATGAAACTAAGTTTTAAGACTGAGGGCTGGGAACAGCAACTTTAACTAAATAGTAGACAGATACTGATATATCAAGAGAAATCATCGTTCAGTCTATCTCTTGAAACTTCTGGGGGCTAACACTTGAAAATTAATGACTTTGCTTTTCTAGATTAAAAACGGAAATGAGGTTATAATTTGCCATTTCCACCTTATGTCTGGAATTTCAAATGAGGCATTGTCATGGACTTCTTTCTTCTGTGTCTATATTTTTCTTTAGGTAAATATGTTTTTTTTTTTTCTTTTTTTCTTTTTTACAAACAACCCCCCCCACCACCACTTTCCCTGCCATGAAAGGGCCTAGCTGGGTGTCAGGGCCTCATTCTGGGCCCTGTGAAGGTTACTCCAGGAGGCTTGACTTCCTGGAGACAGTTAGGATCTGGGGATTCCTGTCCTCCCACTGTCAGTCTGGATAAGCTTCTCATTGTATCTTCATCCAAGTCCTAAAGGTAACTGGCAGCCCACTGCATTTGTGAATAAATGAATGACACTCAAAGGAACGGCTCACCCCCTCCCCGCCCCACCCCATCCAGTCCCACCCACATACCCATTATCCAGTTTATTCAATGGGAATAGTAACTGTTTAGGAAGACAGCTAATTGATTTACAGTACTCTAAAACCAACCCTGAAAACTGGTAATCTCATTCATTTACTATAACTTCAGTGCTGTTATTGACAGAAAAAAAAGTTACCTTAAGGCTCAAGGGAAAGTAACTTATTGTGAATGCAGCATTATTTACTCTCCCATCCATTGGAAGCTAGCAAAATGCATTCTAGATCAATAATACAAACTTTCTAACATTAGCAAAGATTTCCACTCTTCTTACACAGTTAGAATGATATTCATAAGCAAATTACCTAGGGGAGCCTGAGAAACCATGATCCATATCACACAAAGATTCCATGTATTTCATGATCAAAAAGTGCTTTATCTTTGAGAAATATGTCAGGGTTAAAATGGAAATATACAATGTAAAATCAAGCGACACTTTCTCAAGTGAAGTACAAAGTGGAAAAGGAGCAAAAAGATGGGAGGCTCTGCTCTCTGAACAGGCCTTATGCAAGTGATGTTTAGGGTGTACTAAATTAAAATTGTTTTAAGAGTTAACAGTGGAATTTTACACCACTATATATATTCTAAAACCTGAGATTGGACATCAAAGCAGTCAACTTTTTTATCACAGCAATTCTGATACTTCCTAAAAACAGAAGACAACTCAATTGAATTAGTAACTCCAGGGTCAAAAACATTAACTTTCCCCAATCAACAAGGAGACTGATCACAAACGCATTAGACACTAAGAGTGCTGCAGAATGACTCTCGGCAAACGAGTCATTTTACATGAGCAAAAAGTCACTTGTTTCCTTCCCCTTCTCACCGATCAAGGCCACACTATTTTCAAATGAATATCTACTGAGAGATCAGTTGTGCATTGGACGAAGTACCATAATTGGGTTAAAAATGAAAACAGAATTTACAGTGAAGAATACCTATGTGCATGGCTTACACACTCAAGCTTTTTAATTTCATCCACCTCAAGAGCAAGGTAGATACAAATGAACAGTTACCTTTTAATACCTTGTGTAGAGCACATTCTACCCCCTGTAAAGCCAGTCAAGGTCACATTTAACAAAGCATCCTCAGCAACTATAGTGCCTGAAGTGTGCAGCCATTTACAGACCACTCAATATGAGGGCATTATTATAACCAGCCTCTTTTGCCCACAACCCTGCATTTTCAGATAAGCCAGGAAAACTTTTGTTTTTTGAGAAAACTGAAGCTTGAATCTCTTAAAAGACCTGCAATTTATTGCAAAGTGATTGAGAGGTAACAAAGGAAGTAGTAGGTTAATAGGCTGCCTGCACCAAAGCCTCTCAATCATTTTGCAGTAAATAATTATGGAAAGTGACTTGACAAGTAGCCATGTGTGCATCACAGCTACAGTCATTTACACCACCTACATGCCTCCCATAGTAACATAGGGTGTCTGGGTTTTTGGTTTGGTTTTCACTTTGATTTTTTGGTGCCATGCAGATTTACATTTTGTACTGTGCAGCATATGCACTGAAAATGTTCTTTGCTGACTAGAACTGCCATTCTAATTGAATGATAGGTAGGGACAATAGAAACCAGAAGGGAAGAGGAGTATCTTGACACAGATTTTTGCTCTTTTGATTCTGTTCCTGAAGTTTGATTTCTCATGTCTGTAACTGCAGTAGTTTGAGAAACAAACATTCTACCAATTATCTGAAAAGGAATTTTAGTTCCCTACTTCTCAAGAATATGACTGTTTTGAACATGTGATTAGCTGGGATGTTTGCCAAAGCTGAAAAACAGCCCTAAATCACTGTTCATAATAGTGCTTGAAAGACAAAACAAAAAATTTGGTTTCCCATAGTCTGTACAATGCCATTTTCTGACTGGAATTAACAAAGATCATTTCCTTTAATAAGCAATACTTTGAATGAGTTCTGAAAGCTAGCCTGTTAACTATCACCTTGTTTAACAAACCACACACCAAAGTGTAGTCTCTACGCTTTGCAGATTTCTATTGTCCCTAGTACTGGAATGAGGATCAGTGAATGCTACAATTAATCCACATCCTCCTGTAATCTTCCTGCAGTGAGAAGAGGCCATGAACCACCCCCTGCAGGAGAAACAAACCTTTGAGATTGGTTAAGACTTAAAAACCCACCACTATGACGTTTACCACTTAATCTTACATAGGCAGGTCAAAATTTTAATATAAATTACTTTTTCCAACACATAGCTTATGCATTCTTTGCTCCTTTTTTTGGAGGATTCTCAAATTGATATCTAAAGATTTACATATGATATACTACTGTTATATGGTCTAATGACTAAGAAAATTTCTCTGGTAACCAAAGCTGATGCCATATATGGTAGTGTTCTTGGCATATACTCTATATGCCTCAGACCACTTCCACATTCTTTCTGTTCAGCTAATTATAGCTTAGTAGCCACTGGTGAAGGATTGTGAAGACCCTGTCATTTCTACAGAGTAGAAAGGGCAAGGCTAGTTACTGCAATTCAGCCAAACAAAAAGAAAAGAAAAAAGAATTAAACCAACCCCTTAGAAAGGAGAGGTACTGCACCTTTGCAAAACTGAACTGGCTCATGGCAGCTGAGCAACAGAACCACCACTGAAGCAGGAAAACAAGTTGGTCTCTACAGGAATTATACATGTTTTGAAAATGAAAAAGTTACAGCTATCAAACTAAGAGCTGCAACCTTAATTTTCATTGCTGCCTCAGAGTTTGAAACTTAAACAGTTTCTGCAAACCTAATAATGCTAGCTTCTCAGCTCCTTTACTAAAACTATTTAGGGATTTATTCTCCGCAGCAAAGAAATCAACACTCAAAACACATAGGTAAATACAGCAGGACATTATTGAAAACAGCTGCCTTGTAGTACAAAATACAGTACAAGTATACAGATGTCATTAAAACATCAAAAATACTATTGCTCCCATACAATTTAGGAAACATTCTTTGCAACGGAGAAAAATTTTTTAAAAAAAGAAATGCTTAAAAAAAAATCTGTTTAAAAAGTCTACTGTGGATGATGAGAGTAGAGAAATAGTCTGAAAAGGGCACCAATGTTTGTGGCTCTTCCACTATTTTTTAAAAATCTAAGATGAGATATTCTGAATCAAATCTAATTTTTAAAAAAGCCTAATTTTATATACACAATTATTCCCTCCCTCTCAGCCACTAATTCATGAAAACGACCTTTTTGTATATTACTCATTTCCCAATAAATACAAAAAGATTGTATAGATTGAATACCAAAATAATAAAAAGGGTATGCAATAAATTAAAAGGCAGCTCAAATAAAGGGCAGGCATGCAGTTAAAAAAAAAAATACTAAGATTGTGGAAGTGGGGTTACTTGCCTCCTGGTTGAGAAGGTGTTGCACAAAGTATACCTGAAAACTTTGGAAAGAACATTAGCTCCCATTCAATTCAGTTACCTAGGTTCTGACACTTCTAGGAATACCTTTTGATGGGGTGGGATTAACTTGATTAGTAAAGATCATACTGAAAATCCATTTAAAATATAGAAGAGGCGATCCTTGAAAACCCCAACTTTTATTCTTGAAAGACAGCTGGATAAACTGGCAAAAGGCAGTTTGTTGAAATTTCAAGATGGTATAAAAATGCTTCCAGGATATAGTCAGCATATTCACGTTCACTTCAGCTCCATTCAGATGGATTTCAGCTTCCAAAGGGCACGCTGCTTGAATCACTCATCCATCGTTTGCCAACTTGATTGTGAGGTACTGATACAATGGATCAAGTTCTTAAAAATTTATTTTAAAAGAATAAACGTTGCTGGAATTCTGGACCTGAGGATCTTTAGTGTTTAAACAAATCCACAGATTAAACTGAAGGTAGATGAAGACTTCAGTTTTGGTTATTTCGAACTTTTCTGTGAGGACTTATATTCCATTAAAGCTCAGGCTTGTAGCCACTGTTCCTTTTGTAGATATCTTCAAGTTTTACGGTTTAAAATCCAGCCAACCAGTGGCTGAAACTGCCGAATTAGCCATAATTCACTGGCTCACACGGTGGAGCCACGGGGATCTGGCTCTCATTCATATCTAAGACATGACCTCCATATTTGGAGATCGAGGAAGAACTTTAGTGAGCAGCAACCAATCCACTCAAACAGTTTTCCTTGTGCTTTATGCCTGATTTCTGCTTGTGCCTACCTCAGCAACCCCCAATGTAAAACTGCTTTTATCTTTGAAAAAATTTTGCCAACTTCCAAAATATTATAATAACGGATTCTAGTTCAAGGACTGACATCTGAATCCATTTGCATCCCGGAAAATAATTCTGCAAAGACAAGACATGGGCCTTGTTCCAGGTTCCATGCAAAACCATTTAAAAAAAAAATGGATCCGATTTGTTTCTGTATTCCCTGGTGGCTTCTTGAATTCTTATTTTGCCCTGTCTATGATTACTTAAAGTTGCATTCCTTTTCATAAAACTTGTACCCTCAGAACTGGGTAACTGCAAATGCCTCTCTCTTCACAAGAATTCCATGAAGATCTAGATCCAAAACGCTGATTTCAATGGAGGTGAAGGGATAAGACACTATCTTAAGACCAGGTTACCCCAGGTATAATACAAATTCAGCTGTCATCAGTGGGTCTGGGTAACTCAAGAGGTGTTCCTTGGCCAATGTGCAAGGATCTACCCCACCCAGGATTATCCTGATGGATTTAGGAACCTCAGCTGGGAAGCAACAGAAGCTGAGACTTTTGCTCAGGTGAGGAGGCGCTGTTGTCCTCTCTTTGTAGGTTGCTGTCAATTCCTTGGAACTTTACTGCTTTTCTCTAATTGTCCGTGACTGTTCTCTCTTATGGTTATTTCTCGTAATTAACTATATTATTTTAAATTTTGTTTTCTCCTTCTGGGGCCTCCCTTGCTCTCCCTCCACTAGCTCACTGGGATGAACAGGAAGGGGGGCTCTCTAGTGGTGGGGTGGGGAGGCCCGTAGGGTAAGCTAGGCGTTTCAATCCTCATCCACCTCCTCTCCCTCTGACTCGTCCCCGCCGCGTCGCTCATAAAGCTTATCCCTCTGCCGCTCCTGGATCTCTTTCATCTCATCCGCATACCGGCAAAAGGCGCCCCCGAACTTGCCCCAGGCCTTGAAGGGGACGGTAATGGCGTTGCGGTAGGACGGCTTCACCTCGCTCACGCGCAGGAACACTCCGTACTTGTTGCAGCCCACGTCGAAGAAAAAACGCTTAGAGTCCACCGTGATGGAGGTGCCTTCCGGGAGCTCCCCGTACAGGCCGCCCCCGGGGCCCCCGGCACCGCCGCCCGGGCCCCCAGCCAGCTCGTCGTCCTCGCCGCCGTAGTCGTCGATGAGCTTGGCCAGCGCGTCGCGGAACTCGATGAGGCCCTGCGCGGGCAACGCGATGGTCTGGCCGCTCTGCAGGCCGCCGGGCCCCGGGCCGCCGCCGCCGCGGTTGACCGTCTGGCGGATGCGCAGGAAGCGGCCGCGCTGGTTCTCCTTGAGGTCCAGGTAGTACTTGCGGTTCTCGCGCACCAGAAACTCGCTCTTGAGCGCGCGCCGCGGCCCACCGCCCTCCTCGGCGCCCGCTGCCGCTGCCACCTGCTCGGGGCTGCTGGGGCCCAGCTGCGCGTAGTGTTCGATGAAGTCGCCCAGGTAGTCGCGGAACTCGGCGGCCACCGCCATGGACAGCGTGAGGCGGCTCTTGGAGCCGCCCGCGCCCACCTCGGCGATCTTGAGGAAGCTGCCCTTGGCGTTCTGCTTCACGTCCAGATAGAAGCGTTTGTTCTGGATGTCCAGCCGCTTCGAGGCCAGCTCCTGCGTCTCCTGCTCGCCGCCGCCGCGGGACGCGGGCTGGAAGCCGCCGGGCCCGCCACCGCCGCCGCGCCCGCTGCCGCC